AGTTTCACTTTGTTTCATCCAAATTTGCATAAAGTGACTTGCAGGATTTTGAGCACGCCATCCTCTGAGGGATTTCAATACGAATTGAACGCGAGCCTATCGGTGAAGAATTGAGAGCAGGGTAAGCGATATAGGCGGAGATCATATTTTGATGAAAATTTATTCGCGCCATCTGTTCTGCAAATAGCGAACAGTGGTTGAACCGAAGTGTTGGAGTGAGAAGCGCTCCGCCACGCTTTTGTATCCACTCATTTAATCTATGGCAATATGTGGATCAACTCAATAGCCTCTAGTCAGTGACGAATCTCCGGCGTCAAATCCTGCTGGTCGCACAGATAATAGAGAGGGTTGCACATAAGCCATATGAGCCATCAGATGGCTTCTGTGCAGTGCGCAACTTGTTGGCTAATGGCTCATATGACTCAGATGACACCTCATATTTTCACTAAAGCATGATGTATACAGCAGTAAATATTCATATTTCACTCTACAATAACTTTCTCGTGTGCCACTCCCTCAATTCAATCAAAACAGTCGAAACCTAGAAGGCTGGGCAAAATTTGAACCACCACAGTGGAATAAATTGCTAGGGGTGAGCGACGCGACCAGCATATGTTCCTTGGGCAGTTGAGTGTACTCAATATAAATACTGCTTCCCGAGCCATTGAAATGAAAAGCCATATGCTGCGCACAGCGGAAAAGCCATCAGATGGCTCATATGGCTTCTGCGCAACCGGGTTAATATAAGCGTGACGGGTCGCACACGCACCCAAAGCAGATGATTCAACCGACCAGCCAAAAAGAAAATGCGGGTTTCAAATGGTTCCAAGAATTCAGCCGCCTGCCAGTGCTTGATTGAAAAGGTTGTACTATTACTTGCAGTCAGGTGATGTCCGTAGGTGAGATCTAGATGGAAGTGCACACAATTGGCACGGTTCAAAAAGCTGACTTCTGTTGCCTGACATAGTCCAATCACTCGAACCGATTCTTCAACTGAGGCCGCCGTTGTTAACCTGTCAAATCTGGCTGGCAGCATGATTCACTCGAGTTCCGGATTAACTCCAGCTGATGGGCCTTACAACTGTTCATCGTTTTTGCGGGAGAAGAAAATGGAAGCAGACCTGTGCAACTATGAAAAGAATTTCAAAAATATCTATGCGGCAATAAGCGGCGGAAGTCAACACAGCACTATAAGGGAAGACACTTTGACCCTTCCACCATCTACGACCCAGACGATGGCCGTACTCAAGGTTTATGGCTCGAAAACTTCAATGTGCACTCGCCGTGTCTGCACCGTTCTTCATGAGCTGAAAATTCCGTTCGGGCTTGTTGCAGTCGACGTAATGAAGGGCGAGCATAAGCGCCCAGAATACCTGGAGCGCCACCCGTTTGGACAGATCCCATACATCGACGACAACGGCTTCTTGCTCTACGAGTCGCACACTATCTGCCGTTACCTGGCCACGAAGCACCCCGAGTCCGGCCTCATTCGGACGGACCACAAGGCGAACGCGCTGTTTGAGCAGGCCGCCTCGGTCGAGCTCACAGACTTTCACCCAACCGCTTCCAAAATCGGATTTGAGTACTACAAAAAGTCCGTGACCTTCTGTGCATTGCTTTGGAGTGCCAACCGATGGCTTGACAGGAAACTAGGATATCCGAGCGACCCAGCGGCGTTGCAAGCGCAGGCGGAAATTCTAGACAAGAAGTTGGAGGTTTATGATACAATTTTGTCGAAGCAGCGCTATGTTGCGGGAGACGTACGTCGTGGATAACTGCCTTTGATAATGGGCTGATTTGTGAACCCATTCCCTAGACGTTGACCCTAGCAGACTTAGACTTCTTCCACCTCCCCTATGGCCCGTACATGCAACTGGGAAGCGATCTATTGACCCGAAGGCCGAACGTAGCCAGGTCAGCTTGATATTCTTCTCGATCGAGATGGCGTCTTGATGCTATTCCTTGTAGGTGGTATAACGAGCTTGTGTCGCGTCCCACATGGTCGGCGTATGAAGCTGGGCCCGTGACGACCATGACCTACTAAGCAAGAAGGCAGGAGGGGGTGGAATGTGGATCCGAGGTCAATCCTGGCGGAGCATTCCTATTAACAGATTGGTGGTTGTGAAGTAAAGTTTGTTTCACTCATTGAACGATGTTAGCACTACGTCGGATTTTGGTAATGACCATCTTGCAATCGTTTTGAACTAGTGCAGGAGATAGCGGATTCGGATGGTGCAGAAGCAAATCAAGCGCAGTTAACTCCCGGCTAGTGTGGGTGAGTTATCGACGAGAGCGCGCCACATTCAGAAGTGAACTTGTGAGGGCCATTTGTCGATGATTCGATTGTATGCGTTCGGATGCAGCAACTCGAGACTCTACAAGAAAACAAGACGCTCCGTTGCAAGACCAAGATGAGTCGGACGAGCTTTGAGTAAAGACGAAAGCCGTTAAAGATAACCGTTTACTTTGGAGATGCCGCCCGAACAAATTACACTGTGTATTTCCGACATATCTATATCCATCATTGCTGAACAGGGAGGCCTCCCGTTTGAATACTACACACGCATTTCTGCCGTTTTGAAGCCATGAATATTCGGACGTTATCCCAAGGATGGAAAAACGTACCATCATGCAAGCAAGGCAATTACTCCGCAGTTCAAGATTCCCTGCTCTTGGAGGTGAGGTAGCCCGCGTTCAACGTCGGCCAGAAATTTGCTGGAACCACGCATGTCGCATGAATCATGACACTCCGGAGGGCGGGGACGTCGGACTCGCATAACAGACGAGCAAGTGTACTCGTTACAGGGTGGGGATTACATCGTAGAATGCATTCATAGCTGATATGTACGCATGTGCGGATGGCGAGATATAGCGTGAACAGAGCTCCGGGGTATGGTGTGGGCATATGAATACAAATACAAGGGCGATAAGTACGAGATACAGCGTGGTGGTTCGGCGGGCGATGCAAGGGCGAGGGGCGGGAATGAGAGGGAATGAGGAGGGAGGTATGGCGAGCGGGGAGTTGGGAGGGGCGGGAAGGCGCTGGTTACGGCGCAGTGTCGACTTTGCGTTCGGCAGTTACTGCAGGCGCGGGGTTCCTGATTAGCATGGGGGTTGTGCGGGCGAGAGAAGGATATGTAAGGGAGAGAGACGACGAGAGAACGCACCCCAGGCGCGCCGATCCATGGGACATTGCTGCTTCGACGCGGGGGTGCCGATCCACTTGAGGAGACAGTGCATGTGGAAGACATGCGTGCATTCGCCCCAGACTGCAATAGTACAATAACCATTTAATATTCAATACTGAGCGAAGGAGACGGAGAGAGTAAGACACACTGAGGGGACAGTCGTCGCCGGGCATCTTGCACGACGGACAGCAGCCCTCGTATGGCACGCGGCAGATGCCGCACACGTCGTCATTCTCGCCGTCGTTGGTGTCTGCGCTCGAGGGCTCCGCGCCCGTGTCCCAGCGCCACTGCGCGACGGCGTGCCAGTGCTTGACAGTCACTTTCATGTGGGTATCCGGTAATATGGGGGCCAAAGACGAGCACAGTGGGAGATGTGGGCAAGAGGAAGGGCGGGTGGTGGTGGTGACTGGTCAACAAACGTGAGTGATGTTGTTTGGCTGTGTCGACGTGGCTAGCCGAGTCCGTGACCAGCGGAGGGAGCGCATCTTTTTTGATTACGCCGATTTGGACGTTGCCGCGTTCTGGACAAGTCCGAGATATAGTTCGGAGCTCATTGGCAGTTCATCGGCATCAGCCGCGGCGACCGCAACCCTTTGCCTTATCTGCCTTATCTAGCGTCGAAACAGGGGATTCAAGGCTTGGTAGCGCATGCGCATCTGCAACGATCTACCAGAGAACGTTGAAGCAGAGTTCGCTCTTCGGATCGGGCTCGAGCCTCTTAGCCAATTCTCGGGGCTTTCCTTTTTTATCTCACTCTTTTCTTTCCGTCAATGGATGATTCAGGAGGTCAAATTATGTGGTCCAAGACTTGGTAGCGTACGGTACGCACCTCCTATGATGCGACAGATCCCGCTCGTTCGACTCGGGTCCAAGGTGTAGGCATGTCGCATTCCGGATCCACTCTTTTTGCCTTTTATTTCATTTTATTCATGTCCACCGCCGAGAATCTCCAAGTCCGGTCCTGGGAGCGCATCTGGAATGCCGGATAACGGTAAAGTTACTAGAAACGAATCAGACACTGCTCATAACATTCGCCTCGAGCCCGACCGATCGATACTTTTATGATTTATCTCCAATTTATCTCGGTGCGCCGTTTTATTACACTCCATTTCTTCAACTTGAAAGAACATGTTCAAGGTCGAATTATCTGGTTCAAGGCTTGATAGTGTACGGTTCACACCCGCATCACGTATTGCAATTGCTGCCCATGATGCGTAAGCTGTGGTCGCCAGCGACGTCGATTTTCACTCTTCTTGCCTTTATTTTATTTTATTCATGTCCACTGCCGAGATTCCTCAAGTCCGGAGTGACTCCTGGGACCACATCTGGAATTCCAGATCTTGGTGAAGCTACTAATAGACACGAAGCGGACACTGTTTACATTCGAGTGGAGGCAAGCAATGAATACTTTTTCTCGGTGCACCGTTTTATTTCGCTTTATTTCTTCAATTTCGAGCGAGCCTCTCGAAGTACACAGTTTCTGGTCTAAGGCTTGGTAGCGCACGGAGCGCATCTGCATGTCAGTATTGCCGAGCAAATGGTTAAAACATTATGGTTTGCAGTAGACCCCGCCCGTTCGACTCAGGCCTGAGCCATGGATGCCGGTGCATTTTTTATTAAAATATTCCCCGTTCCCAGCTCGATCCCAATATCCTCTGCGAATTTAGTTCAACTACATCCAAAGTCCCGCCAGTAGCCCAAGGTAAAAAAAAAAAAACTGCATGATGCATTTATAATAAATAATGTGCGTATGAATTTTGTTGAGAATCGAGCCTTTCCCGGACCATTCAAGGCCAAATTATAGGCAGGTACGGCTTGGTAGCGCTGGTGCGCATCTGCATATTAATGTAGGGATCATCGCGAATACAGCAGACCCCGCCTGTTCGACTCGGGCCTAAGCCATGTCCAGTAGTCCATGTACTTTTTATTATTATTTCAATATCCTCTTCCCCAGAGTCGTACTCGATTCAAATATCTCTGAGCTTGCTGCACATTCAGTTCAACTAAATCCTGAATCCGTTCATGGCAGCAATGTAACTCAAGACGAAGTTATTAAATGAAACATTTAATGTGTGGCTAAATTTGGAAATCGAACCAGTGCAGCCGAGGTCAGATAATGAGATTCAAGGCTTGGTAGCGCGTGGTGCGCATCTGAATTCTGTGTACGAGTTCCAGTGTACAGCAGACCCCGCTCGTTCGACTCGGGCATGAGTCATGCCTGTCCTCGGAAGATCTTTTTTTTATTTAAAAAAACCATTAAATGTTACTCAAATCTAGAACCACCCTCCCGCCTTCGACTCCAGCTCGTTCCAGAATTTAGTGGATGCTGGAAAAAATCACGGTTGCAGTGTGAGTTCCAGTGTGGTTGCACTTTGTGTAATCATGGGAAATCTAGATTGGAGTTTTAAGAGGCGTAGATGGATTCCCCTCGAACTGCGCGAAAATATTGTATTATTGAGAAAATATAACACGAAGAGCCAAAATCGCCTTGAATGCTGAAGAAAATCACGACAATGTCAATTTTGCAGGCCCTGTATGATAGCACGTTATTGCTTGAATATAGACATCTAAACGTTGCATTTCTTGGTGCACAAGGGTTGGGCCACAACAAATGCGGTCGGCGGGTTCCCATGGAGGGTTATCGCGACCGTCGTCTGTAGCTTTATCGCTGGCTTGTAGAAATAGACGCATACACTACCGGGATGGCGTGCCAAGACCTCCTCTCCGTGGGTGTCGACGAGGTTGCTGACCCATGGGGAGGTAAGGTCGCGCGGCGCGTCGGGTCGACATAATACAGCGGGTATGTTCTCTTAGAAAGTGGTGGGTTTACCGTCACGGCCGACGGTAAAATGAAGCTGAGTTTCTAGGGCGACAGTTCGATTGTTTTGCAGTGCACTTCAAGTTTGTGAGCACGCCAGTTGGCAGTGCGCCGCCTGTTACGCAGTAGGTCATCATTTTGCAGCCACCGCATATCTGGGATTCACTGGCCTTCGAGCAGTTCTCACAGACCATGGAGCAATTTTCGAGTCGCGGCGTCGCAGCTCTGTCTTGGTCTGATGATCGGCCCTTGGATCCGAAAGCCTGGGCACCATCGCCACACCCTAGATCCATCTCTGTCGGCGCGCTCCTCGTGCAATTTGGCTGGGGAATTCAAAGTTCAAGCTCCCTTCGTAATGCATACCTCGTGTCTCTTTAATTTTCTCCATTCAACTTGATTCAAGATTCAACCCACCTCACATAATATGATTTCAGTCTGTGCCACGTGCGGCAAGAAATTCATGTACTTGTTCAGGTGCACTGGAAGGGCTTGGTTAGTGAATTTGCCGTATTGACGTCGGTTGTCGGAGGATCCCCAGAGGTGCATAAGAGCTACTTTTAGCTTATAGGGTTTTAAAAGAGCCAGGAGGGAAAAAAGACAACCGAATTCAATCAACATGTGATGAAAATGAAAATAAACTATAAATTCTTGTTGGGCTGCAGTCGAACCAGACTTCCCAGTTTTTTTTTTTAGACTGGAGACCTAAAGGTTTGGAATTCATGCATCTTCCCTTGCGATGCTAGTGGTACCCGCGCGATTACGCTCATTCAAAGCCCTTCTTACCCAAGTTCAAGTTGGTTGATTTATGGGTCTGAAGCACGGTGGCCATCTGAACTAGATACCAATGGACAGTAGAAGCCCGTTGGACTCAGGCCCAAGCCATAATCAGTAGTCAATGGTTTATTACATGAAGTAAGGATATCATTCCGCTCGTTCGACTAACATGGCCACTCCCAATGACCACCCTTTTAATATACATTGGTTCAATTAGCATACGGCATGAAAAAGTGGACTTGTGGTAGGCCATCCCAGGGTGACCGCTCTCTGCTGGGCAAAAATGCCTTGTCGGGTTCTTGAATATATAGCTGTGTTCCACAGCTATCATAGAGCGATGTGGTCAACAAGGAGATATCGAATGCTGCTCGGCACCGTAGATTGACCTCTACGTGCTTCAGCGGTTGAACTAGAGGGGTTGGGCTTGGGCTTGGTTGACACCTAGACCGAAGGAGGGCGACAATCGCGGAGTGTGTGTTGTCGGTGGTATCTAAATATTGGAGGCTAAGAGATGTGAGGATGGGGCATAGCGCAGTAGCGGATGCCGGGGACGGATCCAAGGCCGCCAAAATCATAAAGGCATCAGACTCGGAGAGACGGGTGTTGAATGAATACCGGAGGCACAGTGCTAGTAGCGATGGACACTTCCGGAGACATTGAATGAGTAATTGCATATTGTCTTCGCGGATATTATTGAGAGCGAGTGTTCCCAAATTGCAAGGGGATCGCGATACGAGGCTTTCCAAACCTCTGCATATGTCTGCGACGGGTCCCTGGGATAAACCAGGCCATGGGGTTCCTTCGTACCCAACAAGAACACCATCAAGTGCCGGAAGGATGAAGTGGTCCAGAAATGTCTCCAGACTAAATGTGGGGTGGATCCACATCGGCCCACTGAGAGACAAAACACGTAGTTTCCGCAGGGTAATGTGTGCGATTGTCGGCGATGGGGTCGAGATAGCGGAAGATTCTGAGCCTGAGGAAAATCCTAGATGACATTCCCGCAGCTCGACGCAATATGCAAGGGCCTCCATGAGGTTCTGGATCGTCACTGTATTCTCAGTGAAGGTCATATATGCAGAGCTTTGCAAACGCAATATAGTGATCTGATTCCAGGGACATGGCGGGATCGAAATTTCGGAGAACCTAAAGATGACTGTGATGCTGCGCAGTCGAGGGGGAATAGATAGAAAATCCAACGGGGTTCTGTTTTCTCGATCGGTTATTTCCATCGCTTCGAGCAATGGGAATTCAACTGGCTGCAGAGAATGTAGCTGAGACATAACTTCGGCGGCCACGGATAAAAATTTCATCGCCTTCCATCGACGCCGGTACGGGAGAATAATATCCATGAAGGACTGTGAATCCTCTGGTGCAGTGGAACCATATTGAGGGAAGGAAAGTGTGATTGACAACGGGCAGTCGCCAGACCGTTGGAGCCACATCTCCGTGCTTTCGCGGTATCTTGGTGCGTTATTGGAATTCTGTTCCGGCACAACGATGTGCACAGAAGACCACAGCACAGGGGTACACAAGGAAATCGACCTCCACGTTCTGCAAACCAGTCCCAGGAGAAGGGGGACTTCAGACCTGTGCATGATAGCGCCGTGGTCTGCGGGTAAGCAGGCAATGAATATTTCCTGCAAAATCTCTGGTGGGATTGTGCGCATGGGGGATATAAGAGCCTCGTAAGGATTGAGAGTGGTCCAGATGGAGGAATGCATCATATTCAAGTGATCGGCCGTGGCGTAGACCATGGCATTTTCCCATTGAATATTAGATAACATCTGCCTTCCCTGCTGACAGAAGTCACGGAGCTCTCGCCGTTCAGTGTCAGAGGGTACGTAGTTGGTCTCGATGCGATCTTGAAAGCGGGAATGTAAGGGTGTGGTGTCCAGAAAGACGGTGTCTGATCTGGGTGCGCTCATGCATTCAAGAAGGCTCACGACTGCAGCCCGCGGCGGCATTCCGTGATTCTCAGAAGACTTCAGTGTGGTGTAAATCTTCAACAAGGAGGTTGGGAGAGCATTCGATTCAAAGGGATGCCAGCTTACGTCTTTCCAGATATCGGCTGGCGTTGCTTCTGGACCTAGACCACTAGCAGCGTCGCGGCGCCGGCGACGGCTCCTTCAAGTTCCCGTTTCATGAGGATTCACAGTGTCGCCGAGGGAAACGACGTGCTCACCTTTTGAATTTGGACTGCAAAGACCCCATAATGCAAGAGTAGCAAAAGCACGAGTGTGGAGCAAGGTTGGCGCTCAGGAAACACAGCCAAGCACAGCCTTTGCGAATGATAAAGGCGCCGCTCAAGCGCCGCTGATGACTTACAATGATACTATTGATACGCTAAATAAATAGCTCAGTTAAATAATACCTCGTTGACGCGATATAGATCTATGTAGGTGAACCGGGCCAAAAATAAAGCAATAAAACAATGAAGACCTACCAAGACCAGGACAGACTAGGCCACAAAATCCTGAGATCCGGGGATTTTGGCCGGACAGCTCTTGTCGAAATTGGGGCGTTTTTGTCTGAGGTGGACCTACTCATGTTTAATGAATTCAGACCATCAAACGGAGGGCCGCCGGAGGCATTGACCACACTTATGACGGGATCTTCCTATGCCAGCACCCGGCAGCCATGAGTAAGTGTTCGGCAGATATACCAGATGAAGGGCACGGTGAAAGTGCCAGATGAACGCTCACTGCAAAGCCGTTAAGCTTCGAGAGGTGATAATATACCTCTGCCCAAAATGAAAAGCTGTACTTTTTAACAAGCCGTCAGCCCCACTCGACCCCTTGAGGATGGATGGATCACCGGACATTTTCTGTTGCCGACACTTAGCAGTAAGGATTTCATTTTCTTCTGCCTGAAGTAAACACGCATCGCAGGTTTCCTCGGCCGATGATCACAATCAAACGCATCCATGTCATTCGCCACGGTAGAGAAACGCATTTGAACGGAATGAACAATTCGCCGCGCAGTCGTCCGCATGAACCGGAACAATTGCAGAAATATACAAGCATTTGAAAATCGGGGGCATTAGAGCCTCCCACCTAAATTTGCAGCTTCCGTTTCAAGTCTGGTACCTCAACCAGCGCCTTGAAGCAACGGCATTTTCAAGAGACCTCGGGGACATGTAAATTATTCCAACGGACCTGTACCCTATTCTGGAGGATCATCGATCTCCATCCTACTCCAGCGCCGCCATAGCACTAGATGAATTGGAGAATCACTACTACGCGTGCGCAAAAGAAACCTGATGCAACGTATTGGAGTGGAGAATTAAAAGAGAATCCGACGGGCAACC